GGTTTTTCCATATGACCTTCAAAGCTTATCGATCCTAACATAGAGGTTAGTGAATGGAACAGACTTTCAATTTCTTAAGGTCTTAACCTACGTCAGTGTCCATGATGGCAAGTCCCTTAATACCTAAGTTTTCTTCTTTTTACCTGTATTAACCACTACTACTAATGCTACTCCCACTACTTCTACTACAATACTGCTGCTACTGCTACTACTACTACTACTACTGTATACTACAAACACTACTACTACTACTAATGCTACTACTACTAATACTACCATTTACTACAGTAATACAACTATACTGTCCTACTATTAACACTAATATTTATATACTACTAAATAGTAGGTTGGAAAATCCTAGGTTATTGTAACTTTGTTTTGCATTTGCATTCAACAGACACCTTTTTTGTCATGTACTTGACACACAATCACACATAAATGTGGCTGCCATGGCTCTCATCGTATTGTAAAAAATATGCAAGAATAAAAATAACTTTTATTTCAGGTCCGTGTAATTTGATTAATGCTAGTACAGCACCATTTGTAATTATAGACCTAGTGTGCAGTGCTCATTCTGCACTACCGCGCTCTAAAAACCTGAGAAAAACTTCAGCAAGATAAAAACTGACTGTTCTATATATTTTAATAGGTAGTTTTAACCTGGAGCCTCCTGTAAAGCAGTACATACCAAAACTTTTGTATTTATGGGACAAGCGTTTATTCCTTGCTATTAAAATATCTTCTGATTGATTTGTTAGTTAATTGACACACTGGACAATTCTTTTTTGTAGCTTTCAATCTTTCTTGGATTTGTCAGCCATTAGCCTCCATTTATATGTTCTTTTCAAGTTGTTTTTTTGAATGCTACACTTTCTAGAAAGTCCTTATCAAACAACGGACACATTTTTGTGTGGTAACGGGTCACAGGTCATCATGTCTCCTGGCTACCCAAGCGGATATGGAAACAACATGGACGTAAGGTGGTCGTTTAGTACACATCCTGGAAGCTTGCTCTCTATTAAATTCTACGATTTTAATCTGGACAACGGTCAAGACTATGTTTATATAAGCAGCGACGGACAACAAATGGCTAATTACACTGGTTCACAATCGCCGGAAATAACGGTGTCTACAAGTAACACATTGACAGTTGTCTTTACAAGTGATGGCAGTGTAACGTCCAGAGGATTTAAAGCTGAAATTGTTGTCTATCCAGAACCGTCGGGTAGGTGACAGCAATCCATTGCAGATGATACCAAATATTATTATATTTACTTATGTATTTTATTGAATTACTAATAACATCACAATCAAACAAACCTAAGAAGAATTAAGATAGTTAAAATGAAAAAGTCAGGCAACCACACACTTTGAAAATTGTCAATAGTGATAAATAACATTATCAAAGTGGTTACAGTACTCATCTGTACATGCAATAAACAACAATTAAAGCATAGTTAAAAATTGGTTAACTTTTTACAATAAAATGATATAAAACTTTTTAAATATATAGAAATCAGACATATCATTTTTGTTTTATTGATATATTTCTAGTTAATTTTTGAAATCCTTTCTTCTGTCTAAATAGAAGGTTTTTGCTTTGACTTTGATGATGGATGGTGTGGATGGTCTCATACTTATAGTAATAACCAATGGAGGCGTTCTGTTCAAAGAATTGATGGCGCTGATCGAGGGAATCGTTACTCTTTGGGATCAGGTTTAAGTGGCAACTTATTATTACTTCCTTTTCAGTTGTGCACTCTTAAAACAGTATATTACTATGTCACGGTTTAATCCGTCATGCGTGCATGTACGATGAGAATGATTATGTTACCAATATCAATGCTGGTACTGGTACCGGTACTGCGAGTACTGGTCTAGATACTGGTACCGGTTCCTATGGTATGAAAACAATCTAATTGAAAAATAATTCAATGTTCTACTCTGGCAACATTACTATCGTATGCAGCTAACACTATTTTCTCGTTAATAATTTTAATTTGTATTTAAATAATATATTCAAATATTAAAATTAAATAAGTTTTTTAAGTGCAATATTGAAAATCATATTTACATACTTTAATTTACAATCGTTCTATTAGTTTTACCGTTAGTAGTAAAAAAGTTGCTTTAAAAATGGTAATCATAAAATGTAAATATATATCGTTTTTCTAACTTACAGACGATCATTATATTTTTGTGGAAACGTACCATGGAAGTGTATACGGATACCTGGAGAGCCAAATGATACCATCTACATGGAGCGATGTTTGTCTTCAATTTTACTTGCATATGAGCGGATCAGATAATGAACTGTACATTTATCATTA